CTCACAAGCACAGCATGGTCAGTAGGTCAGTTCAGGTAGTGGTGGAAACTTCTCTCTCCCCAGCAGTGCTCCAGGGGCCATGGCAGGGAGAGCATTTCCTCCTTCTGTCCCCAGGTTTCCTCCAAACTCAGCAGACCCTGCAGGAGCATCTGGGCCCCTCCATCCTGGCCTCACCCTCTCTCGCCTGGACTAGCCACCGGTCTCAAGGGTCTCCAGTTTCCAGCTTTGATCCATTCTCCATAGTGCCGCCAGTAGGATCTTTCTAGAACACAATCCTAAGAACCTTCAGAAGCTCAGCCTGCCACACAGAGAGGCCTTTCACTCCGGGACGAGCCCATCTTTCCAACTTTACATCTACTTTACAAACTAGTCACTGTTTTCACCTGACTCCAAGAGTTAGAATAAAGGGGCATGTGCTCACGTGTACTTGGACATGAGACTTCCCTTTGCACACCCCTTCTGGATCTGGGCTCTCTGCCAACTCCAGCATCTCCCCAAGCCTTGCACAATGGTTAGATGTACAGAGCCCAGAGATAAATAGGCCTGGATCCGAGCCCTGCCTCTCCCCACCCAGTTGTGTGTTCTTTGGGCAAATGACTTAACCTCTTTGACTCTCAGTATGTCCATCTGTAAAATGGACATAGCAATTCCTGCCTGGTGGTGTTAGTGTAAGGATTCTATGAGATGGTGCATACAAAACACTCAGCCTGGTGCCTGGGATGTGGGAAAGGCTGAGAAGATGCTACCTTTTCTACAAGGTGCCACATCTGGGGCTGAGGAGCTTGCCCGTGGACGTGACCACAGGCCCCACCTAATCCAACCTCCACACCCTGAGGTTGGAAATGACTTTCCCAAGGTCATGCAGTGCACTGGTGTCAGAGAAGGGTTAGCTATCTTCATTGTCTGTAGAGAGGGCACTCTGGGGAAGGGGTTTGGTTCGTTGCCTCCATGAGAGTTTGTGACACAGAAAATTCTAGACGGGTGCTACCCCCTGGTCAGGAGAACCAAGACAGACTAAAACCAGTAACAACTGGCATGTCTTGGTGGCAGGCAATCCCTGGATCTTTTCGAGCCTGCTGTTCACTCCGGCAAAGTGAGAGCCCATCCTCTGCTGGCAGGGGATGCCCCACTGGGAGGGAACCCTTAGAACCACTCTTCCGCCCCAGCCCCGCCATGTCTGCACGTCCCAGAGTGACAGTGCAGCACCCAGCAAGGCGCTCACCAGCTGTCTCGCCTCTGGCCGCCTCTGGCCACCTCCAGCCAGCCGGGGCGGGGTGGGGGTGGGGTGGGGGTGGGAGTGGGGAGGGGCACCCAAACCAGGATATACCCTAGGGCGGATACTCAGTTCCCACTTCCCCAGGCCTGGGCCATTTCAGCAGGTGGTCGAAGGAGCTCTCCCAGCAGCCCTGTCCCATCACCCCTCACCGGGAAGCCCTCTGATCCCAGACCTGTTCTCCAGCAACCCTCCCACGTCCCTGGGAGACTGGGTCACCCGGGTCCTTCTCCCACAGAAAAAGAGCAACACCCTCCCTTTCTCTCCACCTGGGCCTGGATGCCCCGTGAGACCACAGCTTTCCTTCCAAGCCCACTCGCACATCCCTGCCCCCGTCGTCCAGTGGTCCCTCTCCCCTTCCACCATCCCACCCCCATGGCGCCCGCCCCCCTCCTCCCACCGCACTGCCCTCCCCCCAGCCTCCGAGGGGTATTGTGGCGAATCAGCGGCTGCCGTGCCAGGGCATTTTGGCATTCCTAGCTCTAGCTGGGCCTGCTAAATATACATCTAGGCGAGTCCGGGAAGGAAACACCACAGACCAGTTAACTCTTTCACCTCCAGCAGCCACCAGAGGGCAGCCGGGGCGAGGGGTGGTGTCCAAGGAGCCTCTGCCCAGGCTGAGCTGGAGGGCAGGTGGACCGGCCCCTCACAGCAGGCCAGAGGGATGGGGTCTTGGGGTCAGGACTCCGGGGCGTTGGAGGGGGGAACCTGTGGGTAAGAGGCCAGCTGTGCCCTCATGCCCCTGGCCCCCAGCAACACTCCTGCCCAGTAGGAGGGCAGGTGGGGCTCCCTTGCTCAAACCTCATGGTGGCCTGGGCCTAAGTCAAGCTCTAACCCACTCAGCTCTCCTTTTACAGAGAAGGTGAGGGACTGCCAGGCAAGCGGCCTACCTTCTTCCGGGCAGGGGCCAGCGGGGGGGGGGGTGTCCCCTTTCCAGGCTACTTGGACAGAGGTGTGGAGGCCTGGGAGGAGCCTCCAACAGGAGGCGGTGGGAGTCTCATGGTTGGCTGGCCCTGGATCAGCCTCCACCTTCCCTTCTTCCCTAAACGATGGGCGAGCGCCCCAGCATGGCAGCCCCAGCCTAGGCCTGCTACCCATGCTCCCAGAGGCCCCCCAGGCCGTCCTAGCTAGGAATGGGGGGCTGCAGGCTGGTGAGGTCAGTAGGGCTGGCAGGGGTGGGGCGGGCAAAAGACACTCCCTCCTGCTTTGTGATCAGAAGGAGGAACTCAGTGGGCTCCAGGGAAGGTTCCAGGCAGGGATGGAACCTCCCTGGGTCCCACCTCTGCTCATGACTCACTGCGGGGTTTGGCAGTCTCCCTCCTTCCACACCTCCCCGGCCCCTTTCCCTCCATCCTTGTCATGTGGGGCCGCTGCCAAGGCTCAAACTCCCTTGGATGCCAAAGTGGCTGCCATGGCCAGGACCCTCTGGCCAGGGGGTGGGGCCAGGTGGAGCTGGACTAGGGTGGGGTGAGCGGGGACCCCAGAGGCACTGATCGCGGGGCAAGCTCCCCACCGTGGGGAAGGCAGTTCCCCTGACTGGGAGGCCAGTGGGAGGGGCTGGCTGGACCCTGCCATGGGTGGAGGGAGGAGGCCAATGAAAGGGCCCTTTACACAGTGACACGCACAGGAAACCATTCCAACCACCAGAATGATCTGGGAAAACTGCAGTGACCAGTGGGCCCTCTGGGCTCACCAACCCCAACGTGGCAGCTGGCTCGGCTTCAGGGTGGAGGAGAGTGACAGGGAGAATGGCTGATCCCTCCCACCCAGCCACTCCCCAGGCTGGCTGGGGGCCCCAGGGCAAGCACACTCTGCAGTATCTTGGATCTTTCTACAAATCTGGCTTAAAGCCCTGCCAGTCGGTTTCTGTGCTGCCAGTCCTGCAGCGCCCCCTGCTGTCTGAGCCCATAGCCACAGGCAAAAGGAGGGGGTGGGCCCCAAGACCCTCTGAAGAGCTCCAGCTTCACGTTGACAAAGGAGGTGGGCGTGGGGAAGGCCAAGAGCCCCAAGACTCCCATGTCAAAGACCGTCCCATTGTCCCTGCCACCACATCTATCATCTGGCTGACCAAAGGGCTCAATGTTTAATTCAGTAAGTCCTGCTCAGGGTGGGTGGGGGACGGACCCCTCCCCAGCGTGGTTGCTGAAAACAGCAGGTCCTCCTAGAAGCCTTTCCCCTTGTCCCCATCTTGCCCGCTCCCACTCCCCACCCCAGCAGGACGAGGACAGCCTTGGGCCCCTTTTACCCAACCCGTGTGTCCCTTTTTGTGGACAAAAAGAAAAAGGGGAAAGAGCAGTGGAGCCTCTCAAGGGGAAAGCTGGATGGAGCTGGAAGTAAACCAGCAGAGGCGGCACCAGGGCCGGGGCGGGGGGTGGGGGGCAGTGAGCACGCTCTGGAAGCCCCGAGTGCTGACCCCCACTTGGGAGAACGCAGGACGTGGCTGCAGGAAGCAGGGAAGCGTGGGCAATGCTGGAAAGCCGGGCAAGCCTCTGAGCCCCAACTGGAGACGCTCTGGGGACGGTGGACTGGACAGAGGGGACCCGGGAAGCCTGGCCAACAGCACATCTGCTCTCCTGCCCGAGCACAAGGGAAAAGGGGGGCCAGCATCCCAATCAGGAGTCGGAACATAAGGAAAACTCTTCTGAACTAAAAACTACGCTCAGTGTGGAACTGAGACCATCTCTAGTAGACTCTGCAGATGGGCTGGCCAAGGAGAGAAGGGTGAGCCACGCCACTGTGGTCTTGGCCTCCTTCCCGAAGCCCTTGAGAGTTAACAATAAAAATGCGCGAAGGCAGCTGCAGGAGCAGTTTTAATAATACTTTGCACGTCAGTGATCTGCTTATCAAAGCGATGAGCTCTTCATTTTGTTAAAGTACAGAGACTTTTTTTTTTTTAAAGATTTTTATTTATTTATTTGACAGAGAGAGACACAGTGAGAGAGGGAACATAAATAAGCAGGGGGAGTGGGAGAGGGAGAGGGAGAAGCAGGCCTCCCACTGAGCAGGGAGCTCGATGCAGGGCTCGATGCGATGCGGGGCTCGATGCGATGTGGGGCTCGATGCGATGCGGGGCTCGATGCGATGCGGGGCTCGATCCCAGGACCCTGGGATCATGACCTGAGCCGAAGGCAGATGCTTAACGACTGAGCCACCCAGGCGCCCCAAGTTTACAAAGACTTTTAAATGAACTGTTGCTCCATGGAACACTACATCAAAAACTAATGATGTAATGTATGGTGATTAACATAACATAATAATAAAAAAAAATGAACTGTTGCTCAATCCATCTTACTGGGAAACTATGATCGTGGTTTCCGAATCTAGTAAGTCCAGGACCAAAAAGTTGTAAGTGACACAAAGCATCCCCGAAGCGGCCCTTCCCCCAATCTGCTGCCCCTGAGAGCCCCTGAGAGGCACTCAGAGGAGCAGGATCCGGAGCAGGAACCGGCAGACTCACTCCTCACCAGCGGAAGGCCATGTGCTCAGCATGTCACCTCTCTGGGCTCCCATGTCCCCGGTGTAAAATGGTGACTATACTCAGGACACAGGGTTGTTTGGAAAAACTGATGTCGCTCCAGCCTGTGGGTCCGCATGAGGTCACATTCATATTAACACCCTGGTTCTGGCGGTTCCACGCCTCTACCTGTACAAAGCCCCCTATCTGCCTCCACAGAGCCTCCCCACCTGTTTCTGGAAGTTCTTGGTTTCGCCAGTGCTCAGGAACTGGTGAGTGAATGGGTCTTCTCGAGGACAGCCCACTGGCCAGGTACCGCCTTCCACGACAATGCTCTTTTCTGATACTGGAGGGCTCTCGGAGGTTTCTTAGAGTAGGAAGAAGGTCTCTCCTCCATGGTGTTCCATTTGGTTCTGCATCAGAAAGGCAACTTTCTTCCCAGTGCCTCCCTCTGTAGGGCAGACTTGGCCCCTCCAGTGGGCTGGGAAGCATTGCCCCAACCTATAGGGCCTGCTCTTCCCCGGGATACCTGTCCTTGCATGCCCTCCTCCTTAAGCAAGGTAGGAAGCCCTGGCGCATCCACTCCTGCCCAAGGGCGCATCCGTGTGCACATGGGGGGACGCTCCGTGCCCCCGGCACACTCAGGGTCAGCCTGGACCCCGCACCACCAGCAGTGGTGGTGCCTGGGGGTCCCCCTTCCTCTCTCTGAACTTGGGACCAGATGGGTCCCAGAATTCAGAACTTTTCAGAACAGAGAAGGGTCACGCGTGGCCTGTCCCACACGCTCGATCTTGGTTCCAGCAGCCACACCCGCAGAGAGTCGGCAGGGAACCACTGTGTCCACGCTCCCTCGTCCTGCCTCAGGTCGGGTCAGGTTTTGCCACTAAATGTGACCGTGGCAAACCTGGGACAAATGTTTTGGTTTTCAGAGCTCTTTAGAATTACGGATAAAGGATGGAGGGCCTGCCTTTTCTCCTTTTGGGTATGGCTGAAAGTCCCCTCCTGGACACCCCCATTCTGGGGAGAAGAGGAAAGCCAAGCATTTATTTTGCACTGACGGTGTGCCCCGTGCATTTTTGGCTCTTTCTGCTAGGCCATCCCACTAAAGGGTTGGGTGCTGGTGGGCCCCAGCCTGGACCTCCCAGTCAGGGGGAAAGGTCAGCTCAGCCTGACTGACTGGGAAGCAGAAAGCGGCAGCGACTAATGTGTTTACCCAAAGCCCAGAGCAGGTGGGAGGTCCATCTGCTAATCTCTCCCAGCTGCTCCTCTGGGCTGGCACCCTGGCGGAGAGAGGGGCCCAGGAGAGGCTGGGAGGGGCTGGGCAGAGCCCCGGGGACCTGATCTGCTGGGCCTTCCTTCCTGTGGTGCAGTAAGAGGCCCTCCCCCAAGTGGAGTGGGCTGAGTCCTCCCTTCCCATCCCCCCCTCCAGGGCTGAGAGGCATTTCCTATCTCCTCAGCTGCAACAATGAAAACCCTAGGGCTATTCTGGGTCCCTGAACCTGTTCTGGCCTCAGGGCAGGGAGTTAACTGGAATGGTAGCAGGATGCTTGAGACTCAAGGGGTGGTGTCTCCCCAGGGCTGGGACACCTAATCTGCTTTAAGATCACCCCTTTTCCCAAGAAGCCCCCCTCCCCTTACTCATGGCTTCCCCCAGCCTCGAATATACCTGAGATCCTACTGATGGCTTCCTTTCATCCTGGCCTTGCCACTGGAAGCCAGAGAAGTGATGACTCAGGGAGTGAGAGGTAGGCTCTGGGGGAGTGGGGGCGGGGTGGTGACTGGAGATTATTCCTATCCCTCCGTCCACCCATCCATTCATCCATCCACCCATCCATCTTGCCTTTCATTCATTCATCCAACCCACGTTAATCCAGCCTTCATAACGTGCCAGGTGAAATGTCCCCCACAGAGGAATGCCCAGAGCAGCTGACTTTATTAGCCTGTGCCTGGCAGAGCCCTCTCCTTGGGCCAGGAAGTCGGAACTGCTGGTGAAGCTAATGTGAGAGTTGGATAAATTGGACGCCCCCGCACCTGGGGAGCCGCCCCCACAGGAAGGAGCCTTCCCCGCCCCACCCTCAGATGGCGAAGTAGGGTGTTGATAAAGTCTTGCGGACACACCACAAAGGCAGCAGTAAATCCGGCCCCGAGCCGCCCCCAAGCACCCTGGCTGGGCCCTGCCTCTACCGTTCTGCCCCTCTGGGAAGTCCTGGAGGCTTTAGCGCAGGGTCCACCACCGTACCCTCTGGCCGTGACCCCAGCGTGCAGGGCAGGTGGGCATCGTGGACGACCTCTCGGATGGTGGCCCGGAAAGTCTTGCTGACAAAGCAGTAGAGGCCAAAGTTGACTGCCGTGTTGAGCATGGCGGCCATGTTGGCCACGTCCAAGGCCAGGTGGACCCTCCAGTCGCGGTGGACGGGGGCCACATACAGGTGGTAGAGCATGACAAAGATCCGGGGTGCCCAAAGGAGGACGAAGAGGGTGGTGACGCCCAGGAGGATGGCTGTACTCTTGCCCACCCGGGGCCGTAGCCCACTCTGGCTCTTCCTCCGCAGCCGGCAGACAATGGCCAAGTTGGTGACCAGGAAGACGCCACAAGGGATAAAATAGACCGTGAAGCAGTGAGCCCACTTGAGGACCTCGTCCAGCATGCTGGGGGCGTCCGCGTCCCTCCACACATCCAGCCACCAGTAGAAGGGGATGCCCGTCAACAGGGCGGCACCGAGGACAGTGGCGATGGCCCGGCGGGTCCGGCCTGGGGACGAGGCGGCCCGGTGACGCAGCGGGTGGCACAGGGCGCTGTAGCGGTCCACCGTGAGCAGGACAGCAATCCAGACTGAGGCATGGTTGGTGGCAAACTCCAGGATGTTAGCCGAGCGCACCACAGCCTGGGGCACCTGCCGGGCCAGCATGGCCCCCTGCAGGAGGAAACCCACGAACACGATGACCACCTGGGTGACGATATCCGAGGCCGTGAGAGCCAGAAGGTAATAGTAGGACGGCTTCCTGGTTCTGGTGGCCAGCCGGGTCAAGGCCACTGTGGTCAGGAGGTTGACTGATGGCGACAGAGGTCACAGAGGGCAGAGGCATTAGAAGGGCTGCTTAGACTATGTTTCCAAGGTGTTATCTTCATCCCTCTCCTCTCCCTGGCTTCTCTTTTCCTCTTTCCACACCCTTCTAAAAGCTCACTTTATCAGGGAGACTAACCAGGTCAGCCCTGCCCTGTCCATCCATCCACCACAGGCCATTGACTTCACCCGGGGGCAAGGCCCTACACACGGGCAGGGGTGGGTAATTCCCCAAGGCTGACACCATCTGTCCTTTCCTGCCTCCACTTCCCCACCTGTCCCCTAGCTCTGCTGCTCTCAGAAGCAGTGGACCGTAGCGGAAGATTTCAACCGAGCTGAAGGCAGTCCTACATGCCTAGCCAGGGGGGTGGAGGGGGCTGTCCCTTTTGGTGAAACCTTGGCTTTAGCCATGAGCACCCCAAATCCTGGCCCCTCACTTTTACTCCCCACGATGCTTTGCTCCCCAGTGACCCAGATCACCCTATAAAGTCAAAGAGTGTCCTGGAGTCTAAGATTCTGGGTCTCAGAGGCACCCATCGAAGGAGGACCCCCATTTCCGCCCATCCCCAACTCCCAGACCCCAGCTTCCCACTCACCAGGCAGCCCCAGGCCCAGCAGGATGCTGTAGTAGATGACAGGGATGACACCAGCCACACACGGGGACCGCTCTGGGATTTCTGGCCAATGGCCTCCCAACTCCTGGCTTGGCCCACTGCCGTTAGCTGTGGGCATCAGGGTCGCTCGTGGTGGGCCATCTAGGGAGGAAGCAAGGGTCGGGTTAGAGTTTTAGGTCTCTCTCCAGCCTGCCCCTGCCCCTGAGATCATTATTCCTCCCTATTCTCTGCACATCCCCTGGTCAGGCCCAGCAAATGGCAATCCCCATTGCCAGGTCCACCCCACCCCACCCCTGACTCCCCCATTAAAGGGAAGAAGTCCTCCGTGGCATTTCTTGCTGCCATGGACACTATTTCTCCATTGCATTGCTCGAGGTGCATCTTCTGCCTGGAAGGCAGGGCCCTGAAACAGACTGGACGGCATAGTCAGGGGGGCGGGGGGCGCCCATTTGAGCATGCAGATTCCTGGGCCTCGCCACAGGCAGTCTGAGCCGGGGTCCCGAGTGGGGCTTGGGCAGCTGTGTTTTTAGCGAGCAGCCTGGGTGATTCTCACCCCCAGTGCTTCACAGAAGCCCCTCGGCTCTACTCAGCAGCCAACTCGTCTCTAAAGGGTGACACTACTAGGTTTCCTGCTCTTCTTCCCTAAAGAGCAGCCCTCTTTCTAAGGTTAGCACTACTGGAGCTGGGATGGCCCTGGTTTTCAGATGGGGAAACTGAGTCCAGAGAAGTAAGGTGACCACATACGCTGGTCCTTGCTCCTCTCAGCCCACACTTTATTTATTTTTTTATTTTTTTTAAAGATTTTATTTATTTATTTGACAGAGAGAGAGACACAGCGAGAGAGGGAACACAAGCGAGGTCGGGGGGTGGGAGAGGGAGAAGTAGGCTCAGGGAGTCCGATGCAGGGCTCGATCCCAGGACCCTGAGACCATGACCTGAGCTAAAGGCAGACACTTAGCAACTGAGCCACCCAGGCACCCCTCAGCCCACACTTTAGATCTTTAGGTTTCAGGGTCCAGCTTTTGATTTCCTGCTGAAGTCCCACCCCCAGTCATCCCTGCCCTCCCCCTGCCCGCATGTCGCCCCCCTCCCCCACCCCAGCTAAGCCTAGTTTCCCCGCCCACCTCTCACTGGTGATCAGCTTCAAACTTCTAGATTCCTCGCCTGTCCCTCACCTGCCTGCCACTGTCCTCTCCCCTCCCACCTTGTTCTGGATACTTTACCTGCCTCCCGCCCCTCAAGCGTCATGCTCCTGGGTCCTGAGTCGTATGTCACCTCGTGGCTTTTCTGGGAGTCCCTGCAGCTCCCTCCCAGCATCACCAGCTCTCCAAGGGGTGGTTTGCCCTACGATTCTTCCCGCAGCACTGAGACTGAGCCGGTCGAGACTGAGCCGGTCAGTGCAGAGAGGTGGGGTGGTGGGAGGAGGGAGGAGGAGGAAGGAAAGGGTGGGGCCGAGGCTCAGGGGAATGAATCTCCACAGTGGATGCTGCCTGGAGCAAACCAGGATCCCCCGAGGCTGCACAGGCAGGGGTCAGGCTGAGAGGGAGGCCTGGAGGAGGGGACTGGACTGGGGCTCTGGATAGGCTGCGTTGTGCTCCAGGGCACTCTGGGGACTGGCCTGGGCTCAGCCAGGGCATTTACATCCTGAGGGTGAGGACTTCTGGACAAGGCAGAAGGATCCCATCTGTGGCGTCAGACAGGAGGGCATAAGGGGAGTAGGGGGGAACCAGTGCAGGGCAGGGGTGAGGCCGCCATGGGCAGAGCTCACATCTAGAGGGAGGCCGCATGGGCCAGGTTTAAAGGCAGCGGCGGCAGGCAGTGGGACAAGGAGGCTCCCCGGGGGGCTGTGGGGGTGGAAGGCAGGCAGCCGCGCGCAGTGGTGGCAGTGACCACCCGGACAAGCCTGACCAGGCCACCAGCAGCTCTGGGAATCCAAGACCCAGGGGCCCCACGAGCTGTTGTTTTCCTAGCCTTGGTGAAATGGACCATCCCCCCGGGAATATTAGTCACTGGCAGATAAACACCTGCAGGTGCAGTGGGCACTCTGGAGAGACTGGAATCTGTGCCCACTGGCTCCCCCCACCCCCTCGGGGACGTGACCAGTGTGGCCCACAGTGGGCACCAGGGACAAACGTGTGGCCTGACTCCGGAGGAGAGCCGAGGTCCAGCCTGGAATCACTTCCCATGCCCATCTCTGGGCATGTAACAGAGCTGGCTTCTGGGCTCCCTAAGATAGATCCCACATCTGGGGCTGGGGCTACCTGGACCCTCAGCCCCACTCCCACCTTCACACCCACCTGGGCTATCACAGAGGACTTGCTGCCCCCTGATGGCCGTGTTCTGACCCTGCAGGCCTCCAGGGAGTCCACGGGCTTTGGCCAGGTCCTCTGGGTGGGTAGAGCAGGACCAGAACAGGCACGACCCACTCAGACCCCCAGGCCGTGTGCCAGGACCCCAGCCCCAGAGAATGCAAGAAGCACAGATAATTCTGCTTCTGAGGACACCACCTCCCTGCACCACGAGGCTATGGGGCAACGAGGAGCTGCTTACAGTCAGGTTGAAAAGACCAAGCATGTGTGAGGGGCTCCGGCAACATTTCCTGAGCTCTTACTCTTGTTCCTACACTTGTCACCCTCAAGGCAGCCCCATAAGCTAACTCTGGTGACTTCCATTTCACACAAGAGGGGACGGAAGCTCAGAGAAATTCAGCAACCAGGCTAGGGCCGCAGAGCCACCCTGTGGCATGGGGATTTGAACCCCAGAGCTGTTCACTTGTCACCCCCTCACACAACCTTCCCCCAAAGAACAGGTGCACAGGCAGGAAGAGGCCACTGTGAGCTCAGGCTTTAGGGAGGAAGGGGATGTGGGTCAGACAGAACACTCAGATAGGGAGGGGCATTGCTGTGGGGGGTGGATATCACGGTAGCGGGTGCCAGGGCAGGAGAGTGGATCTGCCACTGTGACGGTGCAGCCTGGCTCTCCGGAAGCTTCCAGTAGCCTGTGACTTCCTTCAGGGAAAGATTCCTTCTTGTTTATTATTAGTGTGCCCCCACCCCCGAGTACACTGGCCTGGAACCTAAACTCAGGATCCCCTATTCCCCAATCTAAGTGTCTGAAGGCACCCTAGCTCAGGAAGGGAGATGTTACAGATCTAAGGGAGTCCACACTCTAGGTAGGGCTGGGTCTGGGGACCCACCGCTCTGGGGTGGGTATTACCCCCATCCAGCGTCTCATCACCCATTCTGCAGATACAGAAAACCATCCTGCCCCAAGCCCGCAAGAATTTTCAGTGGCTTTTACAGCACTAGAGATTCCTTGCCCAATGGGGATCATATCTGTCTGAAATAGCTTCCCATGTAGGGACCCAGTGTAGGGTCATGGGAAGAAAGTCAAGCAGAAAAGTGGCATTTGAATCCTGGCTGCCGTGAGAGCTCAGACAAATCACTTAGGTTATAAACACTCTTTGTCTCAGGCAGGAAGTAGCACTCCTCTCTGGGAATTGTTCTAGCTTGTGAGCTCATCAGACTTGCTCTCAAGGAATGATGGAGCTTCCAGATCCACAGGGCAAAATAAAATGGAGTGTCTCAGATCCTCTATCTCAACGGCCGTGCAGGGCAAATGCCCTCCTTTCTCTCTCCTGCTCCAAGACTCTCGCACACGACACTCATGCACGTATGTGCATGCACACACACACCACACACACACACACACACACCACACACCACACACTCCAACAACTCTCAGACTAAGAAACCGAGAAAAGAGAATGCCTATTTCTGGAAAGTCAGCTTCTAAATCGTTAGAGGAGGTTCAGGGACAACGAAGTTAGCAATTGTAGGAGGAGGGGCCTCTCAGAGATGGGGGGTCAGAGGCGACCCTTCCGAGTCTTCTTGGTCATCTGGGGCCTCCCGATCCCTGCACACTCGGAATGGCATCCATCTTACTCCGGGGGGTAAATCTTAGCTTGTGTGTACATGACAATCACCCAGCGTGCTTAGAAAATACTGGTGTCCTGGCTTCTAAGTAGAGCACGGGAGATTCCAACACAGATGGACTCTACCTTCTAGAAAAGCAGATACAGCCCCAAGGAGGCTGGAGTTAAGAAAAGAGTTTACGGAAAGCCGGGTTTCTGAGTAAGTGGGTTCTCTTACCAACGTCTCTTTATCATCAGATAACGCTCCTCCTGAAAAGCATTGCACATGGAAACAGGGGTGCTCTCGGAGGCCAGGAACCCCATCACACTGAGGCTCTGTCTTGCTGGTCCAGGCCGGGGAGGTGGTACAGTCCATGGGAAGGGCAGGCAGGCAGCCAAGGGATGGTGGATCTGGACGAGGGGAGCCAGGCGTGAAGGTCAGGGCACCCGGGAGGGGTTTCCGCTGCGCTGGATTGCTCCATCTCTGCCAACCCGGACGAGGCAGGTGCCAGACCCAATTCTTGCTCTCTCTGCAGCTCTGGAGAGGGGGTGGAGCTGTGGTGTGTCTGTGCCAGCCCAGAGCAGCAGAAATCAATGCATGGAGCTCGTGCCTGGGACCCAGAGAGCAAGGGAGGGCAGGCTCCATCCCGAGTCAAGGACCCAGCCTCGGGGGAGACGGAGCTGGATCTCTCAGTCCATCGGTTCATCGAGCTTAAAGCAGAGTCCGTCCCAGGAAGAGCTGGGCCAGGCCCCACTTGCTCCCCAAGAGGGTGAGGCCTCAACAGAACACACGGACCCACCCACTCCCCTTGGGCTCTAGACCCCACCCTCCTCTCTCTATTCATTTGGATTTAGAAGAGCACTCCTCCGCACTGACCCAACTGAGACTGTGACCTAGCTCTCTGCCTCGATTTCTCCTGCAGTTGAGGCGGGATGCCGGGTCTGCTGTGTGTCTCCTTGGAACTCTGGGAAGGGAAACATTACATCTGGAAGTTAGAAGCTGGTAAAAGAAGCCTTCCAAGAGGTAAGCCTAGAGACCTGAGGCACTCAGGAAGGCGAGTTAAAGGAAGCGACAGGGCAGACAGGTGCCCACCTCAGCATCTCCAGTGTCCGAGCCCAGATTTGTGCCGGTTGGGCAGGGGGGTGGGCTGTCTGCTGAGGGCCAGCCTCTTGCAAGGGGGCCAGCCCTGCTCTGGGCAGAGGGCATCTCACGCAGAGGGACACGGTGCAGTGTGTAACTGCTCCGGGCCCAGCCCTGCCATCTTGGTTGACCTTGATCCTGGGGGAGGATGGTCACGGTCCCCAGGGGACCTCCCTAAAGGCCCATCACCCTCCCCAGAGCAGGCCAGGAACATGCTCGACAGGGAAGAGGAAATGATACCAGTTGTCCCATGGGCCCCTATTCGAGACCCTTGCCCTGCTCTCTGAAGAGCTAGCCCACCCCAAAATGGAAGAAGGGGAGGGATGGGGGCCTGAGCTGCTCCTCCTCTCCCCTCTTCCAGACCCTTCCTTTGTAGCCTGCTCACCATCGCACTTTAGCCAAGACGCTGCCAAGAGCGCTCTGTGCCAGGACGGACACTGGGCCAGGGCGCTGGGGCTGGGGACTGGGGACCCTCTGGGCCAGCAGCTGCCAGAGGTCCTGGAGCCCCTGGCCTGCCCTGTGGAGAGCCTAAATCCTCCCAGGAGAGAAACGACTAGTTCTGCTGGGTGGTGGAAGACGTGGGGGAGGGTGCCGGATCTGTCCCCCTCGGGGGCCTGCGGGCAGCACAATAGCCCCAGGCTGCCACTCTCTGGCTTAAGTGGTTGCCTGGGCAACAGCTGGGGCCAGTTTCCACCAATCCTCAGCAGAGGCAGGGTGGGGGGAGGGAAGCTGGCCGGGAAGGGGGGTGCCATCCCCTTGTGCTGAATCCTATATAAGGAGGAGGGATGTGAGCACAGTGGTCTGGGCTTCACTGTCCCTCCAGGGAGCTCAGGGGCGGGGCACAAAGATGCTTCGCTTGGGCTCTGCCAAGCCTGGGTCCTGGGCCAGCTTCTGGGCCATCCTGACCTTGGTGGGGCTGGCCACTCGAGCAGGTGAGTGGGCAGTGGGTGGGGTGGGGGTGGAGGGCAGGGAAGAGAGGCAGGACCTTTCGGCCCTAGCTGCACGAGGCCGGGAGGGGGCGGTGTCCAGCTCCACGGAGGAGGGCCGCCTGCCTGCGGGGAGGGCTGGGGAGGCAGGCGGGGCTCTTACAGACAAGACCTTTCTACCGTCCATTGTCCATTGTCCCAGACAGGTGGGCCCAGGCACCCAGGCCGTGGCAGCCGGGTGGAACGCCGTCAAGTGGCAGCTTCGGGAGGGGAGGGCTGGGAAATTAACTGCCCACCCACCTCTCACCCTCCCCTGCTCCCTCAGTCTCCCTGTCTCTTATACACAGATGCTCTGCTCTCGTGTGAGCCTTCTTTCTGGTAGTCCACATGGCCTGCGCGTGCGTGCGTGTGTGTGTGCGTGTACGTGTCGGGGCAGGTGCTCGTGGCTTGCTGTCAGACACCCACCTTGTCTCCCTCCGAGGCTCCTCACACTGTTCTCTGTTTGGGGAAGCTGTTGGCAGCCTTTTCGGTCCCTGAGTTTTCTGTAACAGAGTGCATGTCCCCATCTGACCCTCACGGCATTCCCTGGAAACACGAGAGAAGGGCCCAGGGTGGCCAGCCTGGCAGGCTCGACACACAGGTGCCCTGAGAGTCCCCTTCCAGCACCAGCTCACCCTCTGTGTTTTCTCTGGTCCCCCACCAGCCACCTGCTGCCAGTGGACTTCAGTCTCAGAGGTCAGGACCCAGGAGGGCAGCTGGGCCAGGAAACAGCTTCTCCTCCTGCCCGCAGCCCTCTTCTCACGCTCGGCCTCGCCCCTCCCATTCAGTGCTCTGGCCCCCTTGACCCTCTCGCTGCTCCCAGCACCGCCAGTCCATCCTTTTCAAGGGCCTGTGCAGGGCTGGCGCCTGTCCTCTGGCTGGCTCCTTCTCGTCACTTCCTCAGGGAGCCATCCCTGATTTATTTATTTATTTATTTTTAAGATTTTATTTATTTGCGAGAGAGACAATGAGAGACAGAGAGCATGAGAGGGAGGAGGGTCAGAGGGAGAAGCAGACTCCCTGCTGAGCAGGGAGCCTGATGTGGGACTCGATTCCAGGACTCCAGGACCATGACCTGAGCCGAAGGCAGTCGCTTAACCAACTGAGCCACCCAGGCGCCCCCATCCCTGATTTCTGCCCCTCAAGTAGCCCTATCCTGACTCTCACTTCCCTTATTCATCACAGTCCCAAACTAGAGTGCTTATTTGTGCACTTAATGCCCGTCAAAGGAGCTGGTTGGTGCTTGTCTCAGGAGGTGAGAGGGGTGGGGTGCCTCAACCCTTGCCTGGCTCTCTGGCGTCATGGATACCGGTTCTGGGGCATTCTGTCCCACACTGGCTCATGATCTCTCCTCGCCAGGAATCTAGCCCCCTTGCAAGAGCATCCTCTCGGGGGGCTGCTCAGGGTCAGGCTGACAAGCTTCCCCACCCGGGAAGTGCTTGTGCATGCACGCGCGCGCACACACACACACATACACGCATGCATCTGCGTGCTCCACGGGCGCACACAGGAATGCACGCGGCCTCCGCCCGCACCCAAGCGCACGCGTCTCCAGCTGGTCCCTCCGCACCCCTGGCTGGCACCCCCGCCCCGGGCCCAGGGGGCCTTCTCAGCCGTGCCGCGTTCCCTCCTGCTGCAGCTCAGAGACCCGATGTGGGCGGCGAGGCCACGGGCACCCCCATCAACCACTCCCAGACGCTGCTCCAGCGCTTGCAGGAGCTGCTAAGGCAGGGCAACGCCAGCGACGTGGTTCTGCGGGTGCAGGCGGCGGGTACCGACGAGGTCCGCGTCTTCCACACACACCGCCTGCTGCTCGGCCTGCACAGCGAGCTGTTTCGGGAGCTGCTGAGGAACCAGAGCGAGGTGGCGCTTCAGGAGCCCCGGGATTGTGCTGCCGTCTTCGACAAGTTCATCAGGTGGGCAAGGATTAGGGGGCGCCTCCCTCCCTTTCCCAGGCCCTGGCTCCTCGGCTCCCAGGCTCCCAGAAGCGCTGGCGCCTCAGAGGACACTGTGTCCCTCCCTCCACCCACCCAGGTCATCAGGATGAAGGTGCCACCGCCTTACATTCATCCCTTCTCCCACTGCCCTCTCGCGTGACTCCCTGCCCTCGCCCGCAAGCTCTGTTTCCAGACCTGGTCTTGAGGGCTTTGCAAAACCGCAGATTCCTGAACCCCGCTCTGGATCGTCCGCTTCGGGTCTGGGGTTGGGCCCAGCAGTGATTTTTTATTTTAAAGCCTCCACGTGGCTTTAGTGTCTGGCCAGGTTTCTGAGCCGCCGGGCCTGGGGGGAGTAAGGCAGCTCTCTCTCCCATCCCCTGCTCCCAGCCCACCACCTGGGGCACCATTCACACTATCGTTGGAGAGAGGAACCCGGTTTTCACAGTTTATTTGTTTATTAAAGATTTTTATATGTTTATTTGAGAGAGAGCAGAGCCGGAGGGAGGGGCAGAAAGAGAAGCAGGCTCCCCACTGAGCAGGGAGCAGGACATGGGCTCCATCCCCGGACCCTGGGATCGTGACCTGAGCCGAAGGCAGACGCTTAGCTGACTGAGCCACCCAGGCACCCCTGTTTTAATGGCGTAGACAAGATGGCTGCAGAATACCAGGCAGTAGGAAGAGTGTTAACACAGAAGGGCACAGGGTCTTCTCCCCAGGAGTCAGATCTATCAAAGCAGCCTTCCCCCAACCCCATCCGGTGCCTCTGTTGTCATCTGATTGGCTAGAATTTAGTCACATGGCCATGCCCACTCTAAGGGAGGCCGAGAACCATCTTTATTCCCAGAAGCAAATAGTGGGGCTAAAATGCAGGGGAAAGGGGAGACCTGGGTGTTGGTGCAGCTATGGGCAGCTCCTGCCACACTCCCATGGAGCGGGTGCCCGTGGGGGCCTGGCAGGAAGGGTGAGCCGAGGGATGGGAGCAGATGGGGACAGGAGTGAGTGAGCAAGACCCACAATAGAAAAGATCCAGTGAGAAAGATGAGCCGGCGAGAAGGCGAGGAGGGTGGAAGGAATTAACCTGTTTCGATGGCTTGCTTCCTAGCAAGTCCAGTTCACTCTCCCCCAGCTGTCACCGTGACCCTGGTACCCCCTTTCCCCGATGATTGGCATAAGGTTCAGTGCAGTTAAATGACTTGCCCACTTGCAAGTACGGTATGGATCTGAGGCCGGGGTTATAAAGCCCACAATGGCAGGAGCCCCGTTTGTCTTGTAGCCACCCAGCTCCCAGGTAGCCTAAACTTCGGCGCCTAGTAGATGCTCAGTAACTGCGCGCTGTTTCCACGTCCGCACAAGAGACGGTCCTTGAGACGAAGACAGGAAGCCTCGCGGCCCGCTGCGCCCCTTGCACCCCTGGCCACAATGCTCTCCACCCAAGGCCGGGTGCCCCTTGGGGTGTGTGAGTGTGTGGGGTGGGGGCAGAGCGGGCCCCGCCCTGACCCTGCCCCATCTCTGCGCGCCCCTCCCGCAGGTACCTCTACTGCGGGGAGCTGACCGTGCTGCTGGCCCAGGCCATCCCCCTGCACAGGCTGGCCACCAAGTACGGCGTGGCCTCCCTGCAGCGCGGCGTGGCCGACTACATGCGCGCGCACCTGGCGGGCGGCGCGGGCCCGGCGGTGGGCTGGTACCACTACGCGGTGAGCACCGGGGACGAGGCCCTGCGCCAGAGCTGCTTGCAGTTCCTGGCCTGGAACCTGTCGGCCGTGGCGGCGAGCGCCGAGTGGGGCGCCGTGAGCCCCGAGCTGCTGGCGCAGCTCCTGCCGCGCTCGGACCTGGTGCTGCAGGACGAGCTGGAGCTGTTCCACGCGCTCGAGGCGTGGCTGGGCCGCACCCGGCCGCCCCCCGCCGTGGCCGAGCGCGCGCTGCGGGCCATCCGCTACCCCATGATCCCGCCGGCGCAGCTGTTCCAGCTGCAGGCGCGCTCGGCGGCCCTGGCGCGCCACGGCGAGGCGGTGGCCGACCTGCTGCTGCAGGCCTACCAGTTCCACGCCGCCTCGCCGCTGCACTTCGCCAAGTTCTTCGACGTCAACGGCAGCGCCTTCCTGCCCCGCAACTACCTCGCGCCCGCCTGGGGCGCCCCGTGGGTCATCAACAACCCGGCCCGCGACGACCGCAGCACCAGCTTCCAGACGCAGCTGGGCCCGAGCGGCCACGACGCGGGCCGCCGGGTCACGTGGAACGTGCTCTTCTCGCCGCGCTGGCTGCCCGTCAGCCTGCGGCCCGTCTACGCGGACACCGCGGGCCCCGCGCTGCCCGCCGCGCGCCCGGAGGACGGCCGGCCGCGCCTGGTGGTCACGCCGGCCAGCAGCGGCGGCGACGCGGCGGGCGTGAGCTTCCAGAAGACCGTGCTGGTCGGGGCGCGCCAGCATGGCCGCCTGCTGGTCCGCCACGCCTACAGCTTCCACCAGAGCAGCGAGGAGGCGGGCGACTTCCTGGCGCACGCCGACCTGCAGCGGCGCAACTCCGAGTACCTGGTGGAGAACGCCCTGCACCTGCACCTCATCGTCAAGCCCGTCTACCACACCCTCATCCGGACCCCCAAGTAGCCCAGCGGGGCCGGGGCGGGGACGCCTCCGGAGTGGGAAACAGACGCCTGGCATGGGTGGCCCCCCGGGGTCGGGGGGGGGGTGCTGGCGAATGGAGGTGCCTACACTGGCCCCCTGGGTGGCCAGGTGCCAGCGGCCTTGGAGCTGGGGTGGAGGCCAGGTGAGGGGTGGTAGAGCAGGTGCCTGGTTTCAGGAGCTGATTTCGCCGCTGCCTTGAAGGCCGCGCTCTTGGTTGAATAAACCGATGCTCAGAGAGCTGAGGGGATGATTGAACCACCCAGCTCCCAGGTAGAAACAGCCCCAGGAGGGTCCCAAAGGTGTGGGGGTCCTTTATCTTTCGTTAGCTTTTCCCGAGGGTTCCCCACCCCCACATGGAACGGGGCAGGTGAAAGCAACCTAATGGACCAGCCTGGGACAACGGGGGGGACTCCCAGGACCCCTTGCTGGAGTTTTCCCACCTTGAGGCCAAGAGGCTTACTTAGCTGGGCAATTTCTGAGCCCTGACTTCCAGAGGGTATCACCCTCCCACCCCCATCCGGGTAATTAGGCTTTTTATGGTCTGAGCCTCCCCAAGTCTCTGACCTCCCATGGGAGGGAGCCCAGGCAGGTGTGAAGGCGGGTGGGATGGGGCATCAACAGACCTTGCCGGGCCCACCCTTCCTGGGGACGGTCTAGAGAAAAACCCCTTTCCCCCAGGTATTTGTAGGTTGCTTCAGCGTAACCAGAGGGAGATGGGGGGGTGTCAGGGAGGGAAGAGGAAGGCGTCGGCTTGCTTCTTAATCAGTCTTGGCCACCCCACAGTCCAGACAAGGTCTAGTTTCCAACATAACCATCAAGACCCAAATGGGATTTTATTGTTACACTGCCAAGTAACAAAACCAGATTCCCTCCTCTGCCCCAACCATAGGATGTGAAGTGACTGTTGGCTCCTTTCCCAACCATCCGGGATGCCTTTGCCCCAGATGTAGGCCCAGGGGCCCCGTCCTATGAACAGCTCCCTTCCCCCTCCCATCTCCAAGGCCGAGTCCGGCCACAGGTCTCTATAGGGTTTTGGCAACAGGGTTCTATCCAGGGCTGGGAGGCCAGGAAGTCCTGTCATCCTGGCCATGCCTCCTGAGTTCACCTACCTTCCCCAGTGGCACTGAAAGCATGGAGGTGCTGGGCAGGCACCCTCATAATTTCTGGATCTCAGGGACCCCAGCCTTCTGAGATCCTGAACTCCTGCTCGCAGGTGACCCCCCTCTGCCCAGCCTCCGTCTCCCATTTTCTGCTACACCCCATCCAGTCTTGGGGGCAGGAGGGCTGTTCCAGGCAGGGCCCCTCAGGTATGCCCGAAGCGTATGTCTCTGCCATGGGTGCTTGTGCTGTGAGCCAGGCGGGGCCCACGGGCAGCCCGTCGGGAAATACCAGCTGGGTTGGACGGAACAGCGAGGGGTGGGGAGTCCCCAGGGCCTGCAACAGGGGAAGGGCCAGGAGCAGGGCTTTAGGAATTCCTCCCACTCCCTCTCTGTTCACCCAGTGGCCTTGAACTCCCTAGGGGCACAGCCCCAAGATGTCAGTCCCACGAATATTCTGTGAGAACCCGGTTTCCAGCAGTGGGTAGCCCTAGGTGAAGGGAGCTCAACATGCCTCCTCCCTGGGCTGGCCAAGGGCCCCCCCTTCCCATTCCCTCCCTTGCTGGTACTGACCTGTGCTCTGGCTTGGAGGGAGTTTGACCTTGGCCAAAGGCAGCATGACCTTCCCCAGATGCCGGATACCAGGTGCTGGGTGTCCACACAGTGGCACCCTATGGTCCGAAATGTTCTCCATAGGACGGGGCCCCAGGAGGTGTGTCTTGGGGCGGGAGAGCTGTGTTGGTTGGAGAACAGTGAGATGAGTCAGAGCTGTATGGGATCTGCTACAGGGATCTGTCTTATATGCCAGTCCTGTGTGCCCCCTATGCCAGCCTGGGGGACAGAGGCATGGAGGGTGGTGCAGGAGCCCCCCAGGCCCCCATCCATAATGAAGGAGTGCAGACACCCTATCCCCTGTCTTCTGCCTCACCCCTTGCCCCGTGACCTCAAAGGAACGGGACCGCCGCTTCCTCTTCTTGGCCTCCAGTGACTCTTCTCGTTTCTTGCCTGGGCTTTTCTTCTGGCCACGCATCCAGGGCCCGGTGCCATCGCCCCCGTGCCCGATTGCCTGGGATGGGGCCTCGCCTGTGCTGCTAGACAGGTTATCCTCACTGGCAGCATGCTGCAGCGTGGGGCTGGGCGGCCGCTTGCAGGCCAGAGGGCCCAGTGGCTGCGAATTGTCAGCCTTGGTCGGCAAGTGCAGAGACAGGCTGCTGCGCTCCCCGGGAGGTGCCAGCAGGTGGCGCCCCTCGGTGCCCAGAGCCCGCGAGCGCCACCGAGCAGCCTTCACCGAGATGCACTTGGTGCCGGTCAGGATCTCCTTCTTCTCTGTAGAGCACCCAATGTAGGGGTCAAGACCATATATTCCTCCCCCTCCCTTACCTCCCACACCCACTCTCCTGCCAAGGCAGGGAAATGAGCAGAGCCAGAAGGCCTGGGTCCCTATTCCAGCCCTCCCGCTTGCCTGCTATTTAAGAAACTTGGGGCAAGTTTTTGAGCCTTACCTTCCTCTGTAAATTGGGAATGGTGAAACTAACCCCATAGGGTTATTGTGAGGATTAGTTGAGAAAATGGGCTTAGGGGGTAGGGATGCCGTCTGTATTTGCTCTTAGAATTATTACTGGGTGGGAAGGGGGAACAGGATCCTAAGTGTCGTGTGGTCCCCATTCTGACTTCTGATTGTGCCCTCAGCTCTCTGTGTGTCCTTGAGCAGGTGGTTAATCCTCTCTGGGCACTGGAGTCTCTTTATAGAATGGGTAGCACCAAAGGTGTGGGGCACTCAGCAGTGCAGGAGGGCATGGACTGGGTGACCCGGAACAGTTTAGATGATGCCGGGCTCACGCTGACAGGGCTGGCAGGGGCACACCTTTGTAGGACAAGGGGATCTCTGACAGATTCTCGCTGCTGTCAGGGGAAGAGTTGATCCGGCTGCTCAGGCTGACCAGGCTGTCCTGAGCGGGGGCCTGCGGGGGGAAGTGGTTGAGAAGACAAAGGCATTAGACCCAGCATTAGACCCCATGTCTTACTCAGCAGAGACAGCGGGGCCTCAGGGGTGAGGGCCATTTGGGGAAGGCTCCATCCCAACCCCTGGGTGTCTACCCTGTGCTCTCGCCCCCCAGCAATGGAACCCAGGGCAAGCGGTGCTCAGTGCTCACCTCCTGGGTCACCAGGCCGCCGACCTGGATGGCGGGTGGGGTGGGCACAGAGGAGCTCTTCACCTGCCAGGCTCGGGGACTGGCTTTAAACACGCGGTTGGCTTCACTGAGGTTGGCAGAGGAGGATGGATGGCTACTGACCTGGCTGGTCCCACTGAGGTCCCAGCCCCACCCCAGGGGAGAGCTATTTGTGTGAAGGGAGAAGCCAGGCATCCTGGCTCCAGACTCGTGCCGTCTCCTCCCTTTCTCATTCCTTCCCCATCTTCCCCAATCAACCCTCATCTGGGTTGGCATCCCTGGGACATGGTGAAGCAGGTGGCGGCTCAGGCTGGCAGGACTGGCTGGAGGTGGTCTCTGGCCTCACCTCTCCGGGCTGAGGGGAGGGAGGACACTGCTCTGCAGACGCTGCACTTCGGAGCTCAGCATCTTCACACTCTCTGGCTCAGACTCCGGTGTCAGCGTGGTTCCTGCTGGGGTAATTTTGGGCAAGGAGCTGTCCTGGGGAGGGAAGGGTGCGGGGGGGTGGGGGGAGGGCAGTCAGAAGACTTGTCCTAGACCAGGGGACAGCACAGGGTGACAGGCACAAAAGGCGGCCAGGGCTGTAACCTGGCTTAGGAGTTTGGGGAGAGCAGTGGCTTTGTGTTCTGGCTCACACGGGATACACAAGTGCCAGAGAAGAATGCTCTGGGACGGGAGGGAGCCTTCCTCGGGTGGGTAAGAAGGACGGGAAGCTGACTCCCTGGGGCGCCGGCCAGCCTGGTCCCATCCCCCCCAGCTCCCCGCAGGCACTGCCTAGGGCATCAGCCCCTCCCATCAGTACAGGTGCCTCAGGCCCAGGCCCAGGCTTGCCCACGCTCCCACCTGCAGGGCCCTAGAGGCCACCCGGTCCATGATGGTGGCCTGCTCCAGGCTGCCCTCCTCCAGCTCCCGCAGGTACACTTCATACAGCTCCTCCAGGTGCTGCGGGACGGCCAGGTTGTAGTCTGCGGGGGGGAAGGGCCAGGGCTCCCTCAGCGCGTGCCCTGGGACCCTCCGCGGGTCGAGGAGGGCCCCTGGGTGGCTCGGCCGCGGGGGGCCTACCGTCGATGATCTGCCGCTGGCCTTGGATGATCTGGTCGCAGAGGCTGCGGTGCTGCTCCAGGCGGCGCACGGCCTCGCGGCGGTGGCGGAGCGCGCCGTCCCGCAGCAGCGCGTGCGACTGCATCTCGGTGTTCTCCACCTCGAGCTCGTGCACGCGGCACAGCAGGCTGAGCACCTCGCGCTGCTCCTCGGAGCCGATGCGCCGCGGCAGCGTCTCCTCCAGGCGCCGGCCCCGCGCGCGCAGCTCTCGGCAGCGCTGCTCCAGCGCTAGCTGGAGGCGGCTGGGGGTCAGCGCCAGGCTGCGGGCGCGCGAGGGGGGCTGCTCCCCCCTCCACCCCCAAGCCCTCCGCCGAGCCCGCCCGCGCCTCTCCAGCCCCCGAACTCCCCATTCTGAGGCTAACCCTCGAAGCTGTGTCTTGGGCCTTGCAACCAGGGGCTGCTCCGAAATGGCCCCTCTGTGCCCACCTTCTTGCCACCCGGACCACAGCCTGCCCCTGGAATCCGCCCCACCCCAGCCCATCTAATGCCCTCAGAGCTCATCATGGCGCCCCGAAGCCCCTGGTTTGGGTATGCTCCAGAAGAAGGAAAAGATCCTGTTATCTGGAAAGCCCTAATTAAAATACTGACTACCATTTTTTGAGTCCTTGGTATGAAAGAGGCATTGATTTAATCTCCCCTACAACCCCACTAGGGCCGCACCACGACTACTCCCATTTCATAGATGAGTAAGAGAGGCACAAGAAGGAATTTAGCAAGGTCACAGAGGATCTGAGGCCTGAGCTCCCAGGTCTGAGTCCCCTGTACCCCACCCCCAGCCCCTTCTGGCTTGGGCCTCCAAAACCATTCCCCTGCCCCCAGCCCCAGGCACCTTCTGCTTCCGCAGCTTCTTCTGCTCCCCCACTAGGCTGGCAATGCTCTCCCGGGCTGAGGCCACCTCTGGGGGCTCCAGGGTGTCTGGCTGGTCATCGCCCGTGTCCGAGTCCTTCTCGCTGTCATCCTTGGTGTAGGATTCCTTCCGCTGCTCCTCCCGC